CTCAAAACTACCTTTATCCTCTATTTTCGAATCATTATAATACGCTTTTTTTGTACCCCCTCCCCCCAAACGTTGCATAATCTATTGCTTTTAAATGCTCCATACTACCAAGAGCATCAGTTTGACAATAATAACTTATGCAAAATGTGCGGATATTGGAAAAAGAACTTATATTTCAACTTTTTACTTTTTATTGTAGTGAGGACGATTTCACTGTCGAAGGTAGAGACGTGGGACGCGTGAAAGGTGTTGAAATTTACCGAGATACCTCTGGCTGGGGAGATGGTTGGCATCTTGAGTCAGTGAGTTACTAAGCGAAATGTATCAAATGGGGAAAGTTTCCTTACATTCATTTTCTTACAGTTATCGCAAAAGACCTTTTTCGCAATAATACCTGACAACCGGAGGCCGAGGAGCCAGGACATTATCCGATGAAATGCAACTTTTGTTTTAGAGCTAGCAGGTCATTTTTGCTGCTACTGAAGCGGCTACTGAAGTCGTAATAATGAACTCCTGTTCCACCTAGGTTATATGTTCTTCTGTTAATTGAAAACAACGGAAAGGTACATCAGATGGATTTTAAAGACTATTATGGTATGCCTGGAGAATAAAAATCGTATGTCCTTCCATAGAACGGTCTCACTCGCTCTATAATTAATTATAGCGACTAATTAAGTACTGTTTAAAAACGAGCAGGAGTGTATTATCAGGTTTAAAATTGTAGGCGAAGCCAAGAGTGTTTACACCTGATAACACTTGACTACGAGTTTTTGAACGGCCTCAAAATCTGTTGTAGATCAACTCATTCTTGCACTAATATTTTGATTTGCGGTTATTTTGGTCTTTGTTAAGCCGTGTCTTTACCAGATATAAAGACACTCAATTGCTCTTGTTTTTTCTTTATGAATTATTAATGAGTTTTTGAAATCAAGAACGTTACTCACTACGATGTCTGCTTTATCACAGATTGGCATTAAAAAAGGAGATCGACCGGGATATAGACAGTTTATGTACAGCCGCTGGGTAGACGCAGACACGTGGCTTCCAATACCTCGTAAGTGTCAAACTCTTAAAGCTGTGAACAAGTTAAGCCAAGAAAAAACAAAATCGCTTTATAACTAAGTTTTGCCACAATAACATTCCACAAAAAATTTCAATATGGCCTCCACGATTTTTTGGGAGTTTAAAGCTAGCTGTTATGTCTGCAAAACTTACACGTTTCTTAATGTAAACGTTTGTGATGTATGCTGTCTGAATGAATAATTTTTTTTCAAAACTGGACTTCTTGTATGCATATATGTATCCGTTTTGTTTTATACGCTTTGATGTATGCTTTTTTTCTGTATTTATCACAGAAAACGAGAATTTTTGCTCTGTACAACGTTGAAGTATAATTTTCTCTTGTATACATTTTTGTATTATACATTTAAACCTATTTGTTGTACATTGTTGTTGAATACATTTTTATTGCAAACTACAAAGATGTATACGCGATTGTTTGATATATCTTAGTTTATGCACTTTTTTGTTGTAAATGTTTTTGTTATAAACGTTTATGATAATGTATACATCAGGTTTCTGTGGTACACTTTTTGTTGTTTTCCTTTTTCTGTGTACACTTTCGTGGTATGCACGTTTTTTTTGGTATGCATTTTTGCAAACATTTTCGTCGTCAGAATGAGGATTTGGTTATTGATATAATTGTTTCTTGTATAGGTGTATGTTACACACATGTTGTGTTGGATACACACATGTTGTGCTGGATAACGTTTTATCTAATTTTATGTGATAAACGTTGTGGTAAACATGTTTTTTTGAAAAGTCCTTTTTGCATACTTTTTTGTTGTATAGACGGTATACGTGTTTGTTGAATAAATTGTTGCTAAGTACCTTTTTATTGTATACATTTATGTTGTACACTTTTTTAGTGATGTAATTTTTTTGCTGTGAAAATTTCCTAGATGTATACTTTTTTCTCATAAACGTTTTTTTTTGGCATACATTTTTGCTGGAGGAAACGTGTTTCGTTGCACAATTTTCTATTGTAAATACACTTTTGTTGTATACTTTTTGTTGTATTCATTTTGGTTGAAGAATAAATCCTTATTGTTTTTCAGAAAACTTACATCAGCTGTAAAAGCAATTTTGGACTTCATCTGTATGGTGATTTATCATCAATATAGGTATATGCTTACAGTGTGGACGACACAACTGCAAGACTATTTTCAGAAGAGGAACCGAAATCTTAACAAGAGGCATGCTATGAGAGCTAATAACACTTTATTTAGAATCAGATTGCATACGTCATTTCCAATACTTTGTGGAGCCATTAGCTGTGGATGTATTGAGCAGACTTGTCCACTTCAAAGCCACGGATAATTGTATTGACAGCTACAAATTGCTGCTGAAATCTCCACAGTGTAAGTCAGCCTTGTGTTGGTGACCTACATGTAGTTAAGAAAACGCTTTCAAGGGGGTAAATTACATTCACATTTGCTACGGAATTAGATAGGCAAGACTCCCTCTTAAAATATAATACAGTGAACAATAAAGTTTGTCGCCAAAATGTAACACTGTCCACGACTTAATTACTGTGTTCATTACCTTCTGTTTCACAAAACACATTCCTTTGATTTATTCTGAGAAAGAACTGGCGCTGAAAGCGTCTGACTTTAAATTTCTAGACGGTACCTCTCTCTTGAGGGGTGTAGTTTATCCTCCGTCCGTGGTTGGAGCAAAATAAGATAGCCAAGAATATTTCGGATTTAAAAGGAAGCTGGTATTTCGCTTATGAATATACTCTTTACTTAATTGACATCCAAATAATTCCTCAACATCTCCAATGATCTTAATTTCGGAAAAAGTCCACGTGCAAGAAAATTAAGGCCCTGAACGTAACTTAAGCCACGGGACCTGCCCAGTTTTCTACTACGTTTGCCAGATTAGTTGGGACAGCCCGCTCTTGTCGAATGACCAGCCCCTTCGCAGTAAAAAGGGCGACTGTTTTGAGAATTGGAAGCGCCGCTCTCTGTTTGATGCCTCGATGGTTTCCTACCTCCAAGGTAGTTCACTAAGTGCATGAGTCAAGTAACTCGTACCCGGATCTCTTGTCGACGGCTACGTGATTAGGACAAGTACTCGTCAGGCTACTACGAGTAGTGTGGAGTGTGAGTTTTGCTAAGCATTGGTATTACACCAGAAAACTGATGATACCATTAAATTCTGTTATTAACCATTGAGAGCATAAAAAGGTCATGACGATCATTATGTTCTCCCACGGTCTTCATTTTCTTTTTTCAGAGTTCCATCAGCGTCAAAGGGTTGAGCTCTGACAGTTGTACCTGAGTACTACAATGATATTCTTAGGGTCTCTAAAGGAAACCCCCATAACAATGAAAAACTCAAATTTCCAATTTTATCTAATTCTGTTAATGCTTTTATTTATTAAATATAGTTCTGTCAGTTTGATACAAAATCATATTTCTCTTCAATTAGTTAAAAAATGGCCGCAGTATTTTCATGCTTTCATGTTTTAAGGATTGCGCCTTGCAATGGAATGCTATGCAGTAAATAAATAACAAGCTTACCTATCAATGAAAAGCGTGCTGGTTGGATTCCCAAATTGAAATATAAGACCACATAAGCAATGTTTGTGAATAGCATTTCAATGTGGACAAGAAAACTAAGATATCAGTTTATACCGCCTTGAGTAGGTAAGCTGCCAACAACCAGAGATCGTTGGTTCTGTTGACGTAGCACCAGCAAACAAGACAAAACAACAACTTTGCACGTGCATCACGCTTTTTGGTACATTTCCCTGCCGTCGTTGCACGACTACAACGTGAAACTGCCTATTTCACGTTTTGTCGAGGACGGGAACACAGACAATAACTTTCTTTTTCTTTTCCTGAACTTTGACGCAGTCCTTTAGAATTCAAATCCAAAAAAATTTGCCAACATTTGACGAATTAAACTAGACGGAATAAGCGCCAAAATGTTTGAGGCAGTGCAAATTCACTTTTCAAGTGACGTTTCCGTAGCCGTCGCCGTCGTCTTTATCTTTCCTCATGGTCATCGAGATTTCTTCAAATAACTTGACAATGATTATTTCACAAAGAGTACGAATTTTAGTACTGTATAATTTATCTTTAGGTGGTCTTTTGGAGTTGTGCTATGGGAACTTTCCACGATGGGTAAGAATTAATAAAGCACAATTTAGAAATCCGTTTATTACGTATGGAGTCATTGAATGCAGTATGAAAAAAACACGATTTTTTTCATCTTTTGGCTGAAGACATTAAGGCAAGGATCTAGTTTAGATCTTTAAACGGCAAATTGATATCCTCACTATTCACTCAACTAATAAACGAAAGGGAAACGTTTCTCGAACTTAAACAGAATCAAATATACTGAGAGGTGGAAATACAAAAATGCTGTCTTAACCCTGTTCAGACCAGGGGAGCTGAGTTGAATAACTTCAAAACCGTTAAGCTGGACCGCAAAACTTCGCGACTTTTCCTAACATTTATTTCGGAAAAAGTTATTTAATTAATTCAAAACTGCGGATCCAAGATGGCGGGTCAGACGTCACTTCTATTGTTAAAGATTACCAATGTGTCAGCCATCTTCATAGGTTCATGACTTTTCGCTTTATAGCTAGTTTTCGGGAAAAATTTGGGTTCTGCCAACGCCATTATGACGTCAATGTATCAAACAAATTATACCTAAATGTTGAAAATAACGTGTACATTATTCAGTGTAATTTAAGTGGTCGTTTCACGGGCGGTTTTAAAGTTGGGGCCCTCCAAAGCCCCCATGCCCACAGGAAGCATATGGTTAAGGAAAATTGAACTGTCTAATAACGTCTTTCACAAGAAAAAAACATCCAACGACTTGGTGACTTAATAGTATTCACGGGGAGTGAGCGAGCCAAGTTATTTCGATTTTGCAAAATAGTTAAGGTTGTCATCAGTTTATAGCCTAAACAGCGGATTAAAAAACTTGTTATTGTAGGAGGGAATCCATACCCTGGTATAAGTAACAAAGAATTGTACAAGCTTCTAAAAACAGGATATCGCATGGAAAAGCCCGACATGTGTTCCGATGAACTGTAAGTATAGTTTTAGGCTACTTATGATGATAAATATTTTGTGTAACGGATAAAAATGCAGCCTACAAGAAAGCTTTTTGCTGTGGATTTTCCTTTCAGCTTTCCCTTCACCACGCGAAGCGCTAGCAGTCCTTAGCCTGTCCGTATGTAGACATTTTGTTTAACGCGTTGTTGACACTGTGTTACTGTTCCTTTGACAGGTTCCAGCTGCTATTAGAATGTTGGAATGAGGACCCCAGCGCGCGACCGACGTTTGATCTCGCCGCAAAAGCGCTGGAGAAGATGATGGTGAAGGGAACTCCTTATTTGGATTTGGATTTACTTGATGAATCAAAGGCATATTACCGCGAGAAGCCTTTGGAAGAAGGTGACACATCCTAAAGAACAGCCTTGCTTCGTAGTCCTCTTTGGTTTTTGTTCTTGTCTTACCTGGAAAACTACCACCAAGTCGACTTAACGATTTGACAATATCTGTTACTAACTACACGTTATTAAAAACGCTTGATTTTTTTCTTAGATAAATAGTATTAGCTACTATGTAGCAACCAAACTCTTAGATTCAGTTGAACTTCAGGAAGGAATATTTCGATTAAATAAAGCATGGGACATTAGTCACAAAACTTATAAAGATCTAATAGCCAAGAAAATACTTTGAGGAGTTTAAGAAGACAGCGATTTAAACTTTAAAACTTTATCTTTATTTATCGAAGTGTTACAGTTGTGTTAGTTTCTCAAATGAAATAACTTGGGTTAAACTTGACACAAAGTTATTTGATTCATATTCAGTATAACTTCGCAATTGCTATAGCTTCGGATTAGGGCTAGGGGCCGTTTCGTAATGTTTATCGTAAAGAGCATTAATTTTGTTAGCGTGCATTTCTAGTCCAAGTAAATTTGTTCCTTACTTATCAAGTTATCACCTATGTGATGTTATACAGACATGTGCTTGTATGTCATTTGTTCGATATTTTCCTTTTCTAGAAGGCTTTGCTTGGGGTTGTATGCTATGTATAACTAGCTGTGAGTTACATTAACTGATTAAAATTTGCACGAAGGCACAAGTGTAATTACTGGACGCATGCGTAATAAAGGTCCTATCTGTAGCTCCCTCGTGGCACGCTTTTCTCCCCATCATTGGAGACCTAGCTCGCAGGCTTCCTTCTACAAAGTGATGGTACCATCAGCGTGGCTGCGGTGCCGTCGTGTTTTGCATGTTGTCGCCTACCATCCGAGGTTGCTTATTCAACGTCAATTTTACTGTCCTTTTCAACTCACAAATTCATCGGCAAATTGTAGAAGCGGAATGAGGAAAGAGAAACCAGGAAAAACCTTTCCGAAAGAATCTATTTCACAACATGCTTTCTCAGAAGGGTAAATTTTTCTAAGAAAAGAAAAGATTAAATCCTGTCGATGTTACCTTTTGTACCTTAATAAGAATAAGAATAATTAAAATAATTATGATATTAATAATGATGATCGCACTATATTTTTTTCTTTCAGAGCTCAATAGCGCTTTACAGCAAAAATACGATATTAGAATAATGGTTAAAAATTGAAATAAATGTTGAATTGAATGAGGCTGGGTATCATCTGAAGAATTATGGAGATCTCGGAGGGTGTGGCCGAGGCGGATAACACCCTCCGAGATCTCCATAATTCTTCAGATGATACAAAAGCCGAATTCAATAATTGTTTTATTGTTCATTCAAACTGATAATTCCTAGTTTAAAAACAAGCTAAAACATACTCACCCCCGTCGATGATAAGTTCATCTGGATAGTACATGTTTGTCGGGAAGTTTAGAATATAAAGGGTTGTTTAGGTTTGCAAATATTCTTCAAAGAGCAGATGTCGTCTATCGAAGTTGCATTTTTGTCTTCTTGCTATGTTCTTAGACAACATTTCGCCTTTTTCTTCCTCGTGAAACGCGTAAAAAGTTCTGCCATCTTGTACTCACTACCAAAACAACTAAAACTCGTCCCCAGGTTTTCTTGGTTGACGGTTCAATAAGCTTGCAACTTTGCTGCACGATTGACGTCATTTTTCACATATAGCAAAATTGTTCCAAATTTGGTCGACAATAGCTGGTTATGTTGAATTATGCGTGGCATTTTAGGCAATCAGAAACGGCGAAATATTTTGAATGAATAATAATTAACAATTATTTGAATTCATTTACAATAATTCTAGCCTACGTAGCAGGCGTCGAAAGGGGTAGGGGGTAGGGGATAGGGAGGAAGGGAAAAAGGGGAGGGGGATTGGGGAGAGGGGGAGGGGACGCCTGCTCTAAGAACCCCCTTTTGTTCATATCTGCGGACGCTGGCGTCCGCAAATTCCTGATTGGCTGAGCCGTAATGAGTAACATATTGAAATGCGCGTTTCACAAATCAACAAACAGTCGAGATGGCAGCGGTAGACGTGGATGTCGTAGAGAGTGCTTTGAGATGTGAATTTATCTAGTGGTAGAGAAACTGTTTTAAAACCAGAGCAAGAATCAGCAGTAAGGGCTCTTTTAGCCGAAAGAGATGTTCTGGCGGTTTTGCGGACCGGATACGGCAAGAGTTTAATTTACCAAAGGTTTGTACGCGCGAAGAACTACGAGCTAAATGGTAATGCGGCGATTCTCGTCATTTCGCCACTGAAAAGTATTTTCGAAGACCAGTTGCAGTAGATGGAATTGTTGGGCTACCCAGCGAAAGATTTAGCCAATTTATCGAACGATGACATTCGCCGATGTAACTTAGCAATAAAAGAGGGTGGTTTTACCTCATGCCAAAATGCTGATTATTACAATAAAGTTGTTTTTATCTGCTGGGTAGTTTATGCTCCGGAAGGTTCTGCATTTATACTGAGCAAATGTTATTTTAGCCGCATGTTTCACACTGAGAGGTCATGACATACATATCGATTGACTGTAGTTATTGTTTTCTGGTCGGCAGGATTTGCCCTCTGATGCAAGCGCAATTTCTTTGACCTCTTTTGAAGCGTAAAGCTTTTTTTATTACGGCTGAATAAGGGTTCCAGTTTTCTCCAAAGTGCCTTCTGGATCTGAATAACTAAGCGAATTTCTTTAGTCCGTGAGTGTAATGTTTTTCTGCAATGGCGAGTGTAGCGACACTTGATTGACAGTAAGCGTAATCGGATTACTAGAAAATTGGTAGGCGTTATGCAAAAACATAGGCTCTTAGAGCAGGCGCTCCCTTCCCTTTTCCCTTTCTCCGTCCCCCCTCCCCCTCCCCTTTTTGCGCCTGCCACGCAGGCTACAATAATTCCTAGTTTACAAACAAGCTAGAGAAACATGCTTAACTCCGTCGATGTTAAGTTCATGCATCTTCGATGGTGCATGTTTATCCGCAGGTTTAGGAGAAAAAGGGTTGTTCATTTCTGCAAATATTCTCCAAATAGCAGATGTCGTCCTTCGAATTGTCTTCTTGCTGTTCTTGTTATGTTTCTAGCCAATAGTTTGCCTATTTCTTCACTACCAAAACAACCCAACCTCGTCCCCAGGTTTGTTCAATACTCTGGCAATTTTGCTGCACACTTGACGTCAGTTTCACGTATCGCAACTAGTCTTCCAAAACTGGGCGACAATAGCTGCACAGGTTAAGATAAATTATGCATGGGATTTAAGCCAATCAGAAAAGGAGAAATATTTTGAATGAAATTAATATTTTAAAAAATCATCCAATTCTAAAGAATCAAAAACTGAGTAAAATATAACAAGACCAATTGATAAAAATGCGTCATTGGTTATGATGTTGCTTACATTTACTTTTCGATTTAAAGTTAAAAGCCCTTACTTTTTACGCTTCATTCATCGGAAGCAGGTACTCTACCACCAACTGGCGCTAAAGAACAGACCACACGTCACCCAGTTACTGGGGCAAAAAGAAAATGAAACGAAACTTGTCATTTTGTCCGCTATCCACAAGAAGTCGCCCTCAAAAACTGGCCTCGCTTCTTGGTGTCTGAATATCAGATAAAGCACTGTGTGTCGCGTTTTTGTATTACTTCTTTCTTGATGGCTCGCGGTAAAAAAAGTACCTTTCAGTTTCCCTCTTAGCGTCAAATGTCATATCCTCCCAACCACGCCTTGCATGAACCGCCCCCATGTCAGCAATAACTGAGGTAAGAATTACTTAACATACGATGGTCATTCATAAGAGCTGGTTCAAACACCAAAAACTACATTCCATATTGACAGATCTCAAGACATCAGAAAATTTGCAAGGTAAGTCGTTTCGTCAGTGTTTGGTGCTAAAAGGATTTTCTTCTTTTGGATCAGTTTAACCTCTTTTAATTATTTTTCATTCACTCTCACCGGGCACTTACAGTCCAGTTTGAAACAGGTCATTCAATTTAGTGAGTTATCGATTTTCTTTGGACAAAAACGTTAAAAAGCGTTTCCTTAATGAGGTCTACGCTCTATAAACGATTAATAATACCAGAAAAAATGATCATTAAGACCGCAATTGTTTTAAGTTAAAAGTTACTGACTTTTACCACAGAGACTTTACTTACTAACTTAATCCCCCCTGATTTGTGCTCTGTGTTAATATCGGATCGAATTTTTCCAAGACGTATTTTTGTGAGGTTCATTTTTCGACTAGGTACCTGGACAGGTGGGGAAATCAACTTGCTTGGATGCAATGTACCACCAATCGTCTTTTTGTAACAAAGGAAGGTATACAAGAAGATGTTCGGTTTCACGTATCCGTATATTCGTTCACACCAAATCTTGTACAAATATCAGTTTGAATTTAGGAAGGGATATTCCACTGAACAAGCTACTCTTAAAATTACTGACAATCTGAAGCTAGCCACTGATAAAGGTCAAATAACATGTGGTATATTTCTCGATCTATCAAAGGCATTTGACAGAGTAAATCATAAAATACTGCTCTCTAAACCATATCTATATGGAATTCGTGGTACACCACATAATTGGTTTGAAAGTTATTTGCACAATCGAAGACAATATGTTAAAATTGACTCTGCTGAATCTAGCTATGAAAATATTACATGCGGTATACCCCAAGGCTCGACTCTAGGTCCTCTTTCATTTTTACTCTATGTGAACGACTTACCAAACTGAGTCGACAAACTTTCGGTGCGGAGCTTTGCTGATGAAATCAATTTATTTTACTCTAGCGACAACTTAAAACAGCTTGAATCCGTAATGAATCGAGAGCTTAAACAGATTTATAACTACTGTGCTCTATATAAGTTATCTATTAACACTGCAAAGACCAACTATATGTTAGTGTCATCATCTAGATGCTACCCAAAGATAAACATCACTGGTATTGAACAGAAAGATTACATAAAGTACTTGGGAGTTTATATAGATAAACATCTCAATTGGCAACCGCAGATACAACATGTAAATAATAAATTAGCTAAAAATTTAGGAATCCTTTTAAAACTAAGATATTACATAGATCTGAATATACTCAAACAAATTTATTATGCTTTAATATATCCCAATTTGAGTCACGGGATTCTTGCTTGGGAATGTGCCATCAAAACCAGATTAGATTGTCTTCGTATTAGAGCGGTTTTCACTTGACTGTCGAAAGTAATTGAGGAATTGGTTTGGTTTTGGTTTTACTACGCCCTTTGGTTGGCTAGTGTATTTACTTTGGTTTTGGTTTTACGACAGTCAAGTGAAAACCGCTCTAAGCATAACAAATGTCTCCGCACCATCTTCTTTGTACATCCTAGAGAGAGTGCTGCTCCCCATTTCAAACTCCTAACAATCCTTAAATTATATAACATATATAAATTAAAAATTAAAAATATACTGCCTTACACATAGAATGAGAAATGAAACTGATAGCATTCCAGATATTTCCTTGATGTCCTGACTCCAGCATCGCGTATACACAATCATAAGATTTGTCAGTAACTTGAATTATTTTAGGCCAAGAGTATCCGCCAACTTAGGTAAAGACGTCCTTTAAATTCTCCGCTCCAAAGATCTGGGAGACTTTACCGCCTGGTCTCAAGTGTCTGCCATATCATAAGTTTAAGAAAGAATGGAAGTCCTATCTTCTTACCAACCAAATATGACCTTGCTTATATGCTCTATCACTGATATTACCTGAGATTTTACTTCCTCTCTTTACTGCTGCCGATTATCTAAACATGACGGTGTCCAACAAGAAAGCTCTTGCTACTTTGGACTCTGTACACAAATGAACTTAATATCTTTTAGTTAATTGTTATTTATCGGCTACTTTATTTTCCTATCTGCGTACACTTGAGTAAATATCTTATATAGTGTGATATAAATAATGGAGTCTAATGGAATTGAATTAGGACAGTTTGCAGTCTGGAAAGACTTCCCCGGGTTATTTACTTTATTGACTTTATTTATTATATCTATTTATTTTTAGGGCCATGAAGTTTCCGTTGGTCTTATGCCTTTTGCTCTTTTGCAGTACTGGTCAAGCAATTGGTTAGGGCCAAAAGTCATGAATAATTGTAATTTTTGTTCACCTAACTTTAAGATTTATCTTTGGGTAAACAGATCAGATAACACAGAATCCGATCGTAAAAGCCTCGCAAAGAAATGAAATGATGAAAGAAAGATGGAAGAAGCGTGAATGAGAGGCATACCATGATCCTAATCACTAAATGGAAAAAATAAATTGACTTAACGCGAGGTTTGAAGATTTACCAGGAAATGCAATTTCCGAAAAAAAAAATCTGAAGAATTGGCAGATTAGGGAGGATTTTTTTAGCTAATGTATTTTAGAAGAATTATATACATTGCATGGCATAACAAATAAGAGGAAATTACCTTGCATTGTATGTTGTTGCAATTAACATAAAACTGTGTCAGATGAACCTTGAACTGAAAAGTATAAACTGGGGAATAGGCCATTCGCACGATGGCGTCATTTTACTACGACTAGTATCCGTTTCGTTTTTCTTTTCATATTTACATTTGGTAATCCCAGCGAGGTTTAAATAAAAAAGCCCCAAATTGCACTAGAGAGCAATATCTGAAGGATTCTGGTCGTAGTAGTAAAATGACGTCATCGTGCAAATAGCTTATTATATCCAGGAAATATTAAGTTACTTTTTTGGTGCTCTTTTTTTTTTTACTTCTAACCACAGTGTATCACGTAAGAGTAAGAACCTCTCCATATGCTTACGCTGGCACGGATGCAAATGTAAAGATCAAAATACATGGTAACAACGGCGTCACAGATCAAATAGAACTGGATGACCCAAACAGAGATGACTTCGAGAAGAACAGGTACCTGACTTCCTCTATTCAGTCTCCAGGGACTTATGGAGCGTTTTTACTCACGGGGCTAACAGCCATATTTAAAACATATTGGTACAAAAGAAAGCGTAAAAAAATTTTTTTTAAATTGTAATTTGTAATTTGTTTACCCACGTAGCATTTAGGAGTTCTCGAGAACTCGTTGAATTGTGTCCGTACGTTCCAGATCGAATTGGAATTTGGAAGTGTTGGTTTTTTTGGGTGAGAACGAACAACAAACTCAACCCACATATGATGTCGACGCCGGTATCTGAACCCGGGCCACATTGGTGGGAGGCGAGTGCTCTCACCACTACGCCAACCTTGCGCTCGTTTACATGCCACAGGACCGGTTTGGGGCACCAATATGGCTACCGTTTTATTGTTCGGGACACCAAGATGGCGGAAGTGACGTCATGTGAAATTCAGAGTTTCCGTACAGGAGTTATATTTAAAAGGAAAGGGCTAATTGTGAGGCTGAGGGCTTCGGAAGTCTTTTTTTCTTGTTTCCCACAAGCAATTAAAACGTGTTCCATGATCTTAAATTTCATCAAATATAAGAAGTTTCCGCTACCTATTCACCAGACTATAATTATAAAAAAGTAAATCTTGAAACAAAAGGAGCAAACACAAAGAAATAAACAATCGCAAAAAAGCGTGGAGACGATATTGGAAAATGTCACTCAAAACTAGCTTTATCCTCTATTTTCGAATCATTATAATACACTTTTTTGCACCCCCTCCCCCCAAAAGTTGCATAATCTATTCCTTTTAAATGCTCCGTATTACCAAGAGCATCAGTTTGACAATAATAACTTATGCAAAATGTGGGGATATTGGAAAAAGAACTTATATTTCAACTTTTTACTTTTTATTCTAGTGAGGACGATTTCACTGTCGAGGGTACAGACGTAGGACGCGTGAGAGGTGTAGAAATTTACCGAGATACCTCTGGCTCGGGAGATGGTTGGCATCTTGAGTCAGTGAGTTACTAAGCAAAATGTATCAAATGGGGAGAGTTTGCTTACATTCATTTTCTTACAGTTATCGTTAAAGACCTTTTTCGCAATAATACCTGACAACCGAAGGCCCAGGAGCGAGGACATTATCCGATGAAATGCACCTTTTGTTTTAGAGCCAGCAGGTCATTTTTGCTGCTACTGAAGTGGCTACTGAAGTCGTAATAATGACCTCCTGTTCCACCTAGGTTATATGTTCTTCTGTTAATTGAAAACAACGGCAAGGTACATCAGATGGATTTTAAAGACTATTATGGTATGCCTAGAGGAAAAAAACGTATGTCTTTCCATAGAACGGTCTCCCTCGCTCTACTTATACCGATTAATCAAGGACTGTTTAAAAACGAGCAGACCCCAGTTGTTCGAAAAGTGGATAGCGCTATCCACTGGATAGCGCAATTGGTTATCGTAAACAATTATTGGATTCGGTTTTCGCATGATATCATGAATTATCAAAACCTCGTGTCTGTGTTATCTGCCGAAGCCGAAGGCTGAGGCAGATAATACAGACACGAGGTTTTGATAATTCATGATATCATACGAAAACCGAATTCAATAATTGTTTTATTATACATTTTTGAAACAATAGGCAAAAGAAGACATTCAGCCATTCTGTTTCTGAGAAGAACACTCCAAGGGGCTTGGTAACCAGGCAGACGTTGAACTTGACATGATAAATGCAATATCTGCAGCAGATATTGCATTTATCATGTCAAGTTCACAAGCTAATGTGAATTGATTGAATGCTCTCGACCAATCAGATTTTTCATAGTGAGTCTGATGTATAATAATAATACTTATCCTCTGGATAGTGATTTATCCGGTGGATAGCGCTGTCCAACTTTTGAACAACCGGGGCCAGGGGTGTATTATCAGGTTTAAAATTCTAGGCGAAGCCAAGAGTTTTTACACCTGATAACACACGACTGCGAGTTTTTGAACGGCCTCAAAATCTGTTGTAGATCAACTCATTTTTGCACAAATATTTTGATTTGCGGATATTTTGGTCTTTAACGAATTGGACGTAAAGTTAAGCCGTGTCTTCACCAGATATAAAGACACTCACCAGATATAAAGACACTCATTAAATATTAATTTCTCTTGTTTTTTCTTTATGAATTATTAATATGTTTTTGAAATAAACTACTTAAGTTACTCAGTACGATGTCTGTTTTATCACAGATTGGCATTAAAAAAGGAGATCAACCGGGATATAGGCAGTTTATGTACGGCTACTGGGTAGACGCGGACAGGTGGCTTCCAATTCCTCGTAAGTGTCAAACTCGGAAAGATGTGAGCAAGTTAGGCTAAGAAACCACTAAAACAACTTTATAACTAAGTATTGCCACAATAACATTCTAGAAATATGTCAACATGGTCTCCACAATTTTTTGAGAGTTTTAAAGCTAGTTGTTATGTCTGCAGAACATGTTTTAATGTAAACGTTTGTGTTGAATGCTGTCTGAATGAATACTTTTTTAAAAAACTGGACTGGTTGTCTGTATGCATGTATCCGTTTCGTTAAATACGCTTCGATATATGCTTTTTTATTGTATACATTACTTTTCTGTGTTTATCATGGTAAACGCAAATTTTTGCTCTGCACAATGTTGAAGTATAATTTTCTGTTGTAAACATTTAAACCTACTTGTTGTACTACAAAGATGTATACGTTTTTGTTCGATATATCTTCGTTTGTGTACTTTGCATACATTTTTGTTGTCAACGTTTTTGTTACAAACGTTTATAATAATGTATAAATTAGGTTTATGTTGTATACATTTTTGCTGTATGTAGTTTTTTAATATATATATATATATATATATATATATATTTTTTGATACAGTTTGTTGTATACTTTTTGTTGTAAACCATTTTCTACTTTTTTGGTCAACATTTTCGTCGTCAGTAAGAGGTTTTTGTTGGATAATTGTTTCTTGTATAGGTGTTTGTTACACACGTTTTGTTGGATAAAGTTTTGTCTAATTTTATGCGATATGCATTGTTGTCGTAAATTTGTTTTGTTGCATAGTTCATTTTGTATGCTTTTTTTTTCGTTTACGTGTTTGTTGAATAAATTTTTGCTAAGTACGTTTTTATTATATACATTTTTGTCGTATACATTTTAGTGATGTATCCTTTGTTGATGTAAAAATTTCCTACATGTATACTTTTTTCTTGTAAACGTTTTTTGCATACATTTTTGCTGGAAAACGTGTTTCGTTGCACACTTTTCTATTGTAATACACTTTTGTTGTATACTTTTTGTTGTATTCATTTTGGTTGAAGAATAAATCCTTATTGTTTTTCAGAAAACTTACATCAGCTGTAAAAGCAATTTTGGACTTCATCTCTATGGTGATTTATCATCAATATAGGTATATGCTTACAGTGTGTACGACATAACTGCAAGACTATTTTCAGAAGATGAACCGAAATCTTAACAAGAAGCCTGCTATGAGAGCTAATAACACTTTATTTAGAATCAGATTGCATACGTCATTTCCAATACTTTGTGGAGCCATTAGCTGTGGATGTATTGAGCAGACTTGTCCACTTCAAAGCCACGGATAATTGTATTGACAGCTACAAATTGCTGCTGAAATCTCCACAGTGTAAGTCAGCCTTTTGGTGACCTACATGTAGTTAAGAAAACGCTTTCAAAGGGGTAAATTACATTCACATTTGCTACGGAATTAGATAGGCAAGACTCCCTCTTAAAATATAATACAGTGAACAATAAAGTTTGTCGCCAAAATGTAACACTGTCCACGACTTAATTACTGTGTTCATTACCCTCTGTTTCACAAAACACATTCCTTTGATTTATTCTGAGAAAGAACTGGCGCTGAAAGCGTCTGACTTTAAATTTCCAGACGGTACCTCTCTCTTGAGGGGTGTAGTTTATCCTCCGTCTGTGGTCGGAGCAAAATAAGATAGCCAAGAATATTTCGGATTTAAAAGGAAGCTGGTATTTCGCTTATGAATATACTCTTTACTTAATTGACACCCAAATAATTCCTCAACATCTCCAATGATCTTAATTTCGGAAAAAGTCCACGTGCAAGAAAATTAAGGCCCTGAACGTAACCTAAGCCACGGGACCTGCCCAGTTTTCTACTACGTTTGCCGGATTAGTTGGGACAGCCCGCTTTGTCGAATGACCAGCCCCTTAGCAGTAAAAAGGGCGACTGTTTTGAGAATTGGAAGCGCCGCTCTGTTCGATGCGTCGATGGTTTCCTCAAGTATAAACTCGTACCCGGATCTCTTGTCGACGGCTACGTGATTAGGACAAGTACTCGTCAGGCTACTACAGTAGTGTGGAGTGTGAGTTTTGCTAAGCATTGGTATTACACCAGAAAACTGATGATACCATTAAATTCTGTTATTAACCATTGAGACCATAAAAAGGTCATGACGATCATTATGTTCTCCCACGGTCTTCATTTTCTTTTTTCAGAGTTCCATCAGCGTCAAAGGGTTGAGCTCTGACAGTTGTACCTGAGTACTACAATGATATTCTTGGGGTCTCTAAAGGAACCCCTCATAACAATGAAAAACTCAAATTTCCAATTTTATCTAATTCTGTTAATGCGTTTATTTATTAAATATAGTTCTGTCAGTTTGATACAAAATCATATTTCTCTTCAATTAGTTAAAAAATGGCCGCAGTATTTTCATGCTTTCATGTTTTAAGGATTGCGCCTTGCAATGGGACGCTATGCAATAAATAAATAACAAGCTTACCTATCAATGAAAACCGTGCAGGTTGGATTCCCAAATTTAAATATAAGACCACATAAGTAATGTTTGTGAATAACATTTCAATGTGGACAAGAAAACTAAGATATCAGTTTATACCGCCTTGAGTAGGTAAGCCGCAAACCAGAGATCGTTGGTTCTGCTGACCTAGCACTAACAAACAAAACAAAACAAACTTTGCACGTGCATCACGCTTTTTTGTACATTTCTCTGCCGTCGTTGCACGACTACAACGTGAAACTGCCTAATTTCACTTTTTGTCGAGGACGGGAACAAAAGACAACAACTTTCTTTTTCTTTTCCTGAACTTTGACGCAGTCCTTTAGAATTCAACTCCAAATTTGACGAATTAAACTAGACGGAGTAAGCGCGATAAAGTTTGAGGCAGCGCAAATTCACTTTTCAAGTGACGTTTCCGTAGCCGTCGCCGTCGTCGTTACGTAAACTCCCTATTGTCTTTTGAAAAGGAGCACGATATGCTAGGGCATCACGGCATTTACGCACTTTCTCTAGCCCAAGAACTTTAAAAACAAAGTTCAGTCATAAATTTCACCTTACAAAATACTGAAACACAAAGACTTCCCCCGAAGACTGCTGCTGACGAGGTTTTGGCGACCAAATCAAACATCAGCTCAGGTAGTTTGACTACGTTACCACACTTTACTCTGGCACGGAGAGTGATTAAACGGTGGATTCAAATAACAGCCTTTCCTTCTCTATGGACGAGCTTCGCCTAAATCTTGGTGAGGGAAAATCGTCTGAGTCGTTGTCGTTCGGTCTCTGTTCTTGCAAGGGTGTTACGTCGCCATTCATGTATCTTGGTATCACGTCCACCTCAGAGTCATCCGTGATTTCGTGTCTGGCGAAGTAAGCCTCCCGTGCCACATCGTAAAGATTTGATGCCAATTGTCTGCTGGTGTGTTCTACCATTTGGGAAAATATGCTCTCTTCATTTCGGAGTAAGAGGTAAGGTTCGTCAAATTCCACAAGCTTTCCCTCATCCAGCACCTGTAAATTTAACGAAAAGTATGTTTCCAAGGTGATATTCAATTAACTAAATAAAAACGGTAAAAATTATGACGCAAACATTGCGTCAAGTGGAGTAGGAAAAGGGTAGGGAGGGTAGGGAGGGTAGGGAGGGGAGGGAAGGGGATGGTAAAGTACGTGTGTGTGTATGGGCGGATCTTATTAGTTGCCGTAAGGTAAGGTAGGGTAGTATCGGGAGGGTAGGGTGAAATACGAAACGGGTGGAGCTCTGGTAGAGTAGGATAAGGAATACTATAGTGTATTGGACAGAGTAGGGAGTTAATGTGGGGTACACGTTAGAGGGTATGGTGGGGTGGGGGGGAAAGGGGTAGAAAAGAATAAGGTTGGGTAGGGTACAGTAGGGATTGATGTGGCAGTCTAATAGGACGGTAGAGACTGTGGATTAAAGACACAACGAGTAGAAAGAAGGAAGAAGTACAGGTAACCTAGAACATGAAAAAGTTGGGTGGAATACAATCGAGTAAAGTTCACTAAAATGATAAACTACTAGGGTCGAGTGAAGTGAAGGTGGAATGGTTAAGAAAGAACAGTCGCAGTATATAAATGAAAAAGCGAAGATGTAATTTTTACCATTACTCTGTCTGAGTCCATGATCGTATTCAGACGATGGGCAATAGTCAGGACAGTACAACGCTGAAACTTGCTTCGTATTGTCTCCTGAATTAATGCATCCGTACTGAAATAAAGATGAAATGACATGATAGAGTTATCAAATCTACAGATCTCCACGCTGCCAACCGACAACAATTGTTTACTATGTGTTAAAACAGAGTATTACCAAGTAGTCGTGCTATATATTATTACCTAAGATCGACGTTTGCCGTTGCTTCGTCAATGACTAATATTTTGTTGTGTTTCAGGATAGCGCGTGCTAGGCACACGAGTTGCCGCTGACCCACGCTGAAATTTGAGCCTCCCTCAGTAAGTTTAGTTTCCAGGCCATCCGGCAACTCTGATACAGTTTCCTTGAGTTGTACCTGAAGATTAGACGAGATAGAACATAACGTGAGAAATACCATAGCTTGAATTAAAGGTGTCGCCCCCCACCCCCACCCCAAGAAAAAAAAACAAAGGGAAGGGATTAGTTTCTAAAATGGTAAAGTAGACTTTCTTGCAAAATAACCACTCCTACTTTTCTTCTGTATATATTTTCGTTTCTAACGGCACTGTTTCTTTTCACTACGAATAGAGATCTTTATTCAAACCTTAATAACAAAATCAAACAAAGGTGTACAGCATAGGGTATTATTTGTAAAATTACACAACAATGTGTTATCATTCCTACTAACGAACCTCTTCCAAGGCGTTCCACAACTCCGAGTCCCCATACTGATTGAAAGGATCTAAATTTTTTCTAACACTTCCACTGAAGAGAACTGGGTCCTAAAAAGGATAAAAAAAGACATCAGCTAAACCTTCTGCGCAGGCGTCTCATTATATGGCCAGACGATACTTTCCTAAAATGGAGCCCCCTTCACAATTCAACTTGGTTCAGTGTCATTTGCATTTGGAGGTGAAAGCTTCTTGAACCAGACAGTTTATTCCCCCGCGAGTATAACAAGTGCCTCATTGGATAACCTTCTAAAGAAATTACATTTTTGTCATAAAAAGGGTGTCAACCGAGGGGATTCGTTCTTGCTGTTCTTGTTCTTCTCGCTCCCAGTCCCCTAAACTGATTCCCTAGCTAGTGTGTAACAGGCTTAAGAAGACAACATATGACCGTGTCCCAAAGAATAACAGTTTAATAAAACACTAGATCCCAGGATAACAGCACTCAGTGAAAGAATTTTACTTCAGTGGACATTAAATAATATAACTGGTACTTAGATACTAATTTTTGTTACATTTAAATACGATTTATTGACGTCTTCATAGTTCAAATCAAAGGTTACGATCACAGGCAAAAGATGCGTAGTTGCCACCAATGTCCAACATTATACCTGAGGAATGATGGAAAGGTTACTTCTCAAGTCACTCAGAGAAATGTCTGTAATCGGCACAGCGTCTATTCGAATGTTGCCTTCTGGTTCTGCCAGTCTGAATAAGGCGGCCATTAGTGACGACTTTCCAGCTCCAGTTCTACCGACAACACCAACCTGGAATAACAGTGAAAAGAGGACTTGAATTTCTGTCTTGGTGGCGGAAACAACAAATGTGTTGAAGTCATTGCCACCAGCCTGCATAACAAGCAGTCCCTTAACGACCAACAGGCGATAGTTGAGGCAAGAGCAAAAACAAACAAATAACAGCGAGGAAGCGCTTGAGAAGAACCTTGACCTGTCCACCAAAGTGTGGGTCAAGCACTGTAACTACTAAGTCAGTGGGAAACTTGTGGCAAGTTACGTTATCTACTGGGTTCTTCCGACACTCCGATTGTAAAATTCTTTTTCGTTGTTTTATTGTTAATTATTTGAACTCAAAGAGAGAGCTTTTCATATCGAATAATTTTGAATTCATTTCAACTGTTAAAAACAGGGATCCATCCAGTAGCAATTAATTTCATAAAAGCACTGGACCTGTATTTAACCTACAACTAAAAAAGGGCCCCTTCAGAGAGTATTCACCAGTTTCTTTGCATGACGTAGGCCACGGTGTTGTGGTCAGCCTTCACACATCACATCATTCACATCATGGGTTGGGTTGGGTGGTTTTCATTTTCTCCTGGGTACTACAGTCTGCACAAGAGAAACTGAAAATAACACTTGTGCAAAAGGTTTTGGGGGCAGCTGCATTATAAGTATTTCGATAGTGCTGCTCCTTTACTTCGGGTCCAAAGGAACTTATCCTCCAGTGAGATACGCCAATTACACTGCACCGCTTTACGACGGAGTATATTTCATTCCAGTACAGAACGGTAACATTAAGGTCTTATTACCTTTTCTTCCGCCCTGATGCAGAAATTCAGTTTCTTCAACACATAAGGCAAAGTGTGATGATGTGAATAGTAAAGGCCCTCTGATGTTATTATTCCGTACTTGGGCCAATTATCTGGCACAGCAACAGACTTGTCTTTACGTTGGGATTCCTGTTCCAGTTTAGTGTATTCCATAACACGCTCTACTGATGTCATCTACACGATAAACACAATAACTAAGTCACTGGCGACTGTCAAAAGTAACAAAAAAATTTATAGATAAACTCAGCCTCGTCACCATTCGTCCTCGGCGATTTCAAATGTGATGTCATCTGTCAATGGCTTCGGGACGAAACTGAAAGAAACTTATATTTCACGTAAAGAAAGACAGAGCCTTTGTTTTTTTTCTATAACTTAACCGACAAGAAAACAAATAAATATATGATGACACAAGGCTGAGTTTTGCGCCCCGATTTTCTCGGGAAAAATAATGAATGAAGCTATTGGAAAGATAAAAGCCACTTGACAGTTTAGCTGTCCATGTTTTTTAGAGTCTAACAACACTGTTGCACCTGGTGTTTTCAAGTTGACAAAAGAATCTTGCCAGTTTATCAATCGATACAAAATAAGTAGATATCTTGGGCGGTGACTCTGAATGAGACCGACTTTTTGTGCTGGGTTTATGTCACTTGTCCATGTCAAAGCTGACACAAAAAGCAACAATTTTATTACCGAGTAAATGATTTGAATAAGATCTTTGCAGTGTTAAATTATCATAAACACTTAATGCCACATACCAGGTTCTCAACTTCTGCACTTTGTCGTATGCACCACTGAAATGATCCGGTTAATACCTTGGCGTAGGTCAGGGACAGGCCAACAAGCCCAGCAGACATCTCTTTAGTAAATAGGAAAAAAGATGGTTATATTTTCGTTCCTAGTAGTTCTAGACTGAAAATACGCGAAAAAACAACATGCGAGACACTGGCAAGCAAACGAGATGTAGCCGGGGCTAAAGATTTTTTATTTTAACGATTAAAACAGAGGATTTTGGCCGAAGCAAAACGTCTGAGTCCATTTACCCTTGTCTCGGTGATGGGAAATTAGTTTACACGCCTTCCCGTGTTCGAAATATTTCTTAAACTTTTCAATAATTCTTGCAAAAGATAAAGCACTTCGCAGCAGTGGTAGCTTTACAATTACTGGTTTTTAAGAACACCGTGACGTAAATTCCCCACGAAACCTACATGGTTATTGCTATGAGGAAGTCTGAATTTTATTCAGGGCGAAGGCAAGGTCTCGACCAATAGCAGTCTTGTAAACGTGGAAATGACGAGATCATTAACAATACTCGAAATTCAAATCGCAGTCAAGTCAGTCGTTCCTTAATGGTGACTTATACAAAGATCCTACGTCTCATCCTTTAAGTAGTTCCAGATCACGCATGACAAGAAGTTGAGAGGGGACATCAATCATTCACGTCATCTCTGATCTAAAAATGAATAGGGGGATGGCAAACTGGGGTCAATTGTCCGCGTCATAAAACAGACGTACTTATTCCTCCTTCTGCCATAAGCAAAGGCGTGAATGCTGCAAAAGTAACAAAGACAGAACAGATGAAATCAAGCCTGGAGCCAAGCCACCTTGAAGCTGTCATGAAAAGAAACCATGAAGCTGTGTGATCATCATGGTACACGTGAAATTGGTGCCGAAATCTTTCTTCTTCCGTGTACGCTCGGATAGTGGTGAGGCCTTGGATACTGGCAGACAAATGCGAGTAGAACGGGTTGCGGTCTGAAAAATGATAAAGAATAGAAAGCAGATCAGCAAAAACTCGTCTCTTGTCGTAGAATTCCAAGGGTTTGGATTGAAAATCCCCAGTAGCGGATTACTACTTTTAAAACCAACCAAAGAAGAGCAATCGCTGGCGCGAATAGTACATTTGGAAATGGTTACTCCTGTTTTGCGAAAAAATATCATCATCTTTTCAGTTCGTTGATATTTGACGCGCGTATAGTGCATGTCGATGTGGGCAAAAGTCACTTTGTTCTATCAAAACTCAACAGAAACATTCGCGGTAGATCTCAATTTCAATCTTTCTCCGCCTCAAAAGCCATTACATTTCTTTTGTTTCACTGCAACTTTTTTGCTCCCCAAAGGCAGCATTACAGTTCTTTTCCTTCATGCCAGATGTGATTCCATTTCATTCTGAGTAAACAAGGAGTACCTCTACATTTGTGTACCACGATTTCATGCTCTGTCATCCTCATCTTCTCAGTTTTCCTCAAAACAATTAATAAGAAAGGGCGCTATCCGCCTTTCTGGAGACGTGAGAACGAGGGGGGTGGGGAAGACAGGGAGATTTCGCATTTCCTGTCCCTCGCTCGCGCGCTCTCTCGTTATCTCCCCGAAATATAAGCCCTTGTTGTCCGCCCAAGGATACGCTCTCATAGCTTCTTGTTGCAGTCAAGACTTTTTTTAGGAATTTAAGACTGTACGAACCCTGCGTATCGACACTTACTCATTGCTTCCAAGCGTTTGATCTCTCTCGCCGACTTCAAGTAATAATTTCGTATGAAAAGAAAGAAGGCTACTATGGGAATAGCTGCGGCCAGGAGATATGGCATGGTTGCCACATTTAGCAACAGAATTGCAAAAGACGACACCATCAACTGCAATTAAAAAAAGAAACAGTTTGTGAATAACATGACAATTTCTAAACAATGCGGACCACTAAACAAAAGAACAGTCACCAATTTTGTGAAGAAAAAAAGGCCTTTCACTGAAAGGGTTTTTCCAAAAACGTCCAGTTTGAAATTCGTCGTGGCCGCTTAACAGAAGCACTGAAGACTCATTTACACAGGCTTAGCCTCAACCTCAGGTAAATTCCAGTCCGAAGAAAACCTGTATACAACTGTGTCTATTGTTTCTATTCGAAACTGAACCATTGTCACTTTAAACACGACCGAAAAGAAAAATGCGAAATCAAACCACCTACCCGAGTATAATCGTAAAATGCGTAAGGTAGCAAGTCGTCCATCTGACCAATATCTTTAGAGAACCGGTTCAAAACTCTACCTAACGAAGTTAAGATACTGCAAATGTTATGCCCAATAAGAACTATTCAAACAGTAATGTGGTTCTAACTTTCGAATTGTGCGTAGAATCTATTGAACTGATAGGAAACATGAATTTGACAACTGAAATTCACGAGTGGAGCCTCTTCTTTTCTATATGTTCATCATGGGGCACATCATGAAGGTTTGACTTTTGAGTCTGTGGTTCTAGTGTAGGATAATTCAAATGAAAACATAAAATTCTTCTAAGCGCTGTTTTGGCAGATTCTTCGTAAAGCCTGATTGCTGGAATATCTGAACTGCACATACTATACGCCAGCTTATTGAAAATTTGCATACTCAGCACATAAGCACAAACGTAACACTGCTAACGTTTTTTAAGGAAACTTCTTCCGTACGCCGCTATTACGGTCACAATCTCCGCACAGTCTCCCAATTACGGAAGATGACCAAAGTACTCCTAAGGGTTTCTGTGCAAATAACACAGAATGCTCTAAGTTTTAGACTTGTAGATTTGGATACGCCACGGAACACCCAACAAAGGGTCATACCCATGGCCATTTACAAATACTTACCAACGGGATTAGTATCAAAGAAGTATATTGTTGCTCCAAGGAGTTTCTCAAACATCTGGTTGTGCAATTTCTGTGACGCGGATACAGCGATATACAAAAACATTCCGACACCTGCAAACGCTAACAGAAAAGACCCAAAGACAAGCGCACAGTAAACTCCAATATTGCGTTGCCTCATCTCAGTGGAGTGTTTACTATCAGTTGAGTTACTTAAAAGAGAAGCCTGCCTTTCTTCTGTATCTGCCCTGCAAAAGAACGCGTAGTAAAGCAACTTTGAATACATGTAAACTCACTCACATAGTCAATTTCGATAACCTTTGAGGTTCATAAGAAACATATCAAAGCAGAGCTCAAAATAAAGGCCGGTCAAAGGACAATGTCCCGCCAAGATGACCATTTGACCGGACAAATTGTCGGTTTGCTACTGATTTTGACCCGACACGTAAATATGTGACCAGAAAATAACAACATTTTTACCCAATGACAAGAATCTTTTTTCACTTTATGTTTTTTCTTGTTAGGCTTGTTCGTTCAAGTTATTATCGTGTTATGTTTAACATTTTGACCGGTCAGAAGAGAGACGTGATCGAGCTAAAATTACTTTGCCCGGTCAACATGATCAACAACAATCCCAAATTAAGAGGCCCTGCGCCTAAGAAACGACCGATGATTTCCGGCTAAAAAATAAAATCGGCCGATTTTTATCTCCCAAGTAGAGGTTACCGAATACTATTCAAAAATGAATTTCTTTTGTTTCAGTTTCGCTTTAATCCAAAAATATCGAGCCGCAAACTTTTTCCGTCTGATAGCAGCAAAATCAGGCCTAAAATAAGCTCTCGCAAAAAACGGTTCAGAAATCACTATCGCGACGCAAAACAACGAGAAAACCACACAGTGATGAAGAAAAAGGCCTTTTAATGCAATATCATTCGATAAACACCGAAAAACAGCCGAAGGGAATAAAAAATAAATTTTCAAATATTGCATATTAAATTAGATGGAGCGTTGGAGCTGATTTTAAAATAATAATTTCTCAAAAGTCCAACGCTGCTGAAAGCAATCACGGTGATGAATCAGACATTGGAGGGATATACATCACGTTTTCGGAAAAACATTTTTCGGCCAAAGTATACTGACGTTGTAAAAACCGTTCAAAGTTACCGTATTTACCGTTAAGTTGCCACTTCGGCGAAACACTTCTCTGTTGCCAATATGGCCAAGGATAGCGTGGTAAACGCCACTTTAAGCCTTGCTAGGCGCTCAAAACCATCCTAAATAGAAGTATATAGAATTTAAAGAGAAAGGAAAATGAAAGATTCGCAGAAAAAGAGAATAACTCGAAATTACCATCTGCTAAGGAGAGTTGAATCTTGGAAATGTTGTCGCGTGACAGCGTGATCCAAACAAATACGTGAAATATAAGTTAAAAAAAACAGTCTTTCTATCACCAGAAATCGTGAATGAGACAGTTTGATGTTTGTCCTATTAATGATGATGAATTCAGCCTCAGCTAGTCTCCAAGTACTTTGAATGTGGGTTGCTTGTATTTCGTTACATACATTCCAACGGACGTTACGGGTCAGCGCGTGTAGGGGTCAGCGGACCTGAAGAAAGGTGACGAAGTTGCGCCATGCTAGGGGGGGACATTGGTAGGTACCCAATACCGAAAATAAATGCGGTATCGGTATTTCGTCGATTTTTGACACGGTGTTTCGGTATTTACCAGTTTTTCTCACGGTCTTGCGGTATTTAATCAATTTAATTTAATTTTGCGAGGAAACGTGAGACGACCTCGAATTGATCGGTACAACGAACGAAAAAGATACCCTACCAATTTCATAACAGATTATCTGTCAGAAATTGTGTAATGGTAATCATTTACCATTAATCGAAAGTCTTAAAAATACTGACGTGCATTAAAATAGACTGCGTAGCAGGCGTTTGGAAGTAGTGGGCGCGAGAGAGAACGAGCGCGCGCGAGGGAGACACGCGAGGGGTCATCTAAACCGTGCCTGCTACGCAGGCTAGCATTAAACAGGAGAGGGCAATGAACAGTACCGCAATACCGTGATCGTCTTTTACCGAATACCGTTAACCAAAGGGAAGAAATACCGCATACCGCAGGGCTAAATATAAATGATACCGCAATACCCCACTTTAAAATCCAAATTACCGAAATACCGCTTGCAAAAAAGCGTAAGCGCCCATTTCCCCCTCCATGCTGTTGAAGAGGTGA